GGCGGAAGGTGTCGAAGGTGCTGCTTGGAAGTCTGCAAAGTCGTCGTCTATGTGTTTGATTACAACGAGGGAGGAGCATCCAAAGAGAAAGGAAACAAGCAGGATGGCGTTTAGCATACTATCCATTACACACACGAAAAACGAGGAACAAGCAGGGAAAACTCACCATCCAACACATTCTGATTAGCTTGTGCAGTTCCTAAAGCTGGCAGAGCCTTGTTCGTGTTTTGCGCAGGTGCCGTTGCAGTTACGGGAGCTCCAAACGCGTCGTCATCAAATCCACCCAACAAATCCACTTCCTTCACAGGTTCAGGAGGCGGCAACGGTGCTGTCGGTTTCCTCTGAGGAACACCTCTTGACCCGGCACCTCCTGAAGTAGTCGTCGATGACCTAGCGTTATGACCCGACCTCGATCCGGTAGTAGTAGGTGACGACACCGCAGACCTATCCTCATCATCCCCCGCATCGTATTCCTCGAAATCTCTTCTTTCTGAGGAATCTCTAAATCCACCAGACCCAGATCCGGAAGCAGAGTACGAAGAAGAACGCTCGTTACCGTATCCACCGCTTCCGCTATAACTCCCACCGTAACCGCTGCTGCTACCACCACCACCACCGGAATAGAGAGAGTCTGAACCGAATCCTCCGTATCGTGAACCACCGCTGGAGAAGCTCATTCCGCCAGAGCCGGTACCGGTGTATTTGTTTTTGTTGGCTTTGGCTTTTCGGCGTTCGGCGCGGATGGAGTCGACGTCAGAGAGGAGTTCGACGATCTCTTTGGCTCGGTTGCGGACTGTAAGAGAAACAGAGAGTGGTTAGTATGTAGAACGCTGAGGGAGAGAGGGAGAGAGGGAGAGGGAGACATGTACCGTTAATGCCTTGATCCTTGCCTTTGTCGTCGATATAGTGGAAATTCCTCAACATTTTGATAGTAGAAATATGTGATCGAGCATCGTCAACGACACGTTCCGAACCGTGCTTGATTAAATATTCCAAAAGTTGAAGAGCCTTAAAATCAGGGTAAGACTAAAGATTTTGGTCGAAAAAAAAGCTTGTGAAGAACGTACCTTGTAAATCTGCCTCCATTGTCTAGCTTCCTTCTCCATATACCTCGAATAAATACTCGGCATGATTTCGTTGAAGTCAGGGCTAATTTGAGTTGGAGAATATCACAAAATGTCAGTTACAGAAACAACACCACGATAACGCGACACGGTGCAAATCGATCCACGTACTAGTTGAACGTCCTGCAAGACTACATTAGTTCCTTTGCGTAAAGCAAACAAAGGCGGGGAGATCCCCATGAGTTCGACATACCTATTCGCAATATCCTGCATCAATGTCGAACTGGCGCCCCTGCGAACCGAAAAAGAAGGCACAGGAAAGTCAGATTAGCCAGTGCATTTTGACAGCTAGGAGCCGGAAAAAAATGTACCAAGGGTCATCGTTCGTAGCTTCCTGGACTTTTGCCTCGATCTCGCTAACGTTCAGGACGACGTTTTTGGCCTGGTTACCATAAGTTCCGCATATCGCCCATTGACAGTGACATAACAAAGACAAGATGATTTTGAACAAACGGAGAGGGAGGAAGCCGCAAAAGATTCAACAAAGTAAAAGGCCCTCGATTAGTTACGTCCAACAAGTAAAAGAGGTCAAGCCCAAAACACCCGCCTGTGTATACATCGACTTGATGTCGTACATCGTGATTTGGGAGAGTTGTTTTCCCAGGTTTTCTATGGTATCCATCTTGAGTTACACGAGACCGTTTTTTTACACGAGTAAAAGTTGAGTAGGGGGAGGTTGGATGATGGAGGGAAGAGGACTGGTCGACGACGACGAACGCCGAGGGCGATGAGCTGGATTTGTGTCACGTAGGTCACTGGACTGTCACGTTTGCAAGTAACCGGCAAATGGACGGCGCGCGGGGCTGTTGCGAGCATGTATAAGTATCTCCTTTTGCTTTTACTACTGTCTCTCGCTGAGCGCTGGCTCTCTGAAATGGTCTGACTAGTTCTTCTAATTCTACTGTTTTTCTACTGGACAGTAAATCATACCAAGAAACCATTCAAGAATTCAGCTCTTGTTGCCTTATCAATGGACCCAAAATGGACCATGCTTTATATTCTAGTACAGCGTCTATTTACAGGTACTAGTACTTAAAAAATGTCGTGTCACCAGACTCAACAAAATGAATGAGACGGCGCCCTCCTTCAAATTCACGCCCACTTCTTCGTTCTCTACCACGTCTCTGAACCGTTGGTCATAGGTTACCAACGGCGTTATGGACCTCACTTCTAGTGCTACATCTGGTTCTCTATCTAAGATCGACTCCGAAACTTGCTCTGTGTATAGTGAGTCACAAAAAGCTACGGGTATACTTACCAGTCCTGAACAACAAACTTATTGTAGAGTCAACTGATCCGGTCCCCTTTATGGATACTTCATCTCCCATCAAAGACCTTCGGTGGATTGGACATCACTTTATCTATTTCCTTAACATTCCTTGGGTAGAAGGGTATAATCACATATCGCCAGAACCCGTATCATTCGAGGATGATTACTTCATACCCCTGCCGCACGATGATCCCCAGATCATTCAACATCTGCGCTTTGTATCTATGCAAGCTCTTGTTGATTTTGTAGGGGAGGACGTCATCCAAAAATACGTACTTGTTCGGGGTCCGTCACAAGAACCTATTCTGTCGGCAGATCGTCTGTCTCGATTACTTATTCCCTGGGGGCGACAGCTGTGTAACAGTAGCCACGATACCATACCCGTTCGCGAGCTCTCCAGAAAGCTAACTTTAACACTAGAGAAAGCATTCACCACCCTTAAAACTATCGTCCTTACCACACCGTCCATCGCGATGCTGACAGAACCCTCGATCGACTCCCTCTTTATATCAGTGGGAACACTGATGTTCAGTTTGGCACACTGGGCCGCAGCTGCTCTAGCTATATCTGAACTTAGCGTAACGGCTGACTCTCGACGGATGTACCTCGAACTCGTCTTGCTCTATAAACGAGTCTTGAATGCTCAATGGTCTTCAAACGGTGCTGGGATCGATCGAATCGTAGTTGGTCCAGGAACAATCCCCTTTCTCGCGTACGCTGCTCAATCTGTTCCGGACATCAACCGGTCTAAACTTGTCGACTTGGGGAATTATACCCCTCTACATGTCGAGTCGTCATGTCATTGTGTTTTTGTTAAACCGCCAGTGACCGAAGTCATCAAACTTCTAGGTGAAGGTCGATTCCCGGTCGTTGTGTTTGACGGTTCCAAACTTTCTGTTCGAGATTGGAAGACAGAGCCCTACGTAGCTATTTCTCATGTTTGGGCTGACGGACTCGGAAGCGTAACTGAAGAAGGCTTACCTATGTGTCAACTTGCACGCCTCGCAACACTAGTAAAGCGATTAGTTCCATCTGGTACGCTACAGCCTCTTCAGATAATATCCTTTTAGCCTTGTTTTTCTGACAGAAAGGATGCATAATAGGGGCATTTTGGATAGACTCCATCTGTATACCAGGTCACAAAGACTCTCGCAAACAGGCAATAAAACTCATGGCTGCTACGTATGAACAAGCTAGCCAAGTGCTCGTCATCGACGCTGGCATTCGGACTCAATGCACTCTCGCATCTTCACCAGAGGAGTGTCTTCTCCGTTTTGCGACTTCCACCTGGATGCAGCGCATTTGGACTCTTCAGGAAGGTATCCTAGCTCGTTCGTTATACTTTGAGCTTGCTGATGGTCTTGTGGACTGCACGCATTTTAATGGTACACCGTATTTCTTTACCCATGAACTCTTGCCGCTCTTTGCATCCCGTCCCCATGACCATGCTACAAGATCATTCCATGCGCTTACAGCCAAATCACCGTTGGCGCAGTATAGCTATGGTGACCTCATTCCGCTCCTCTGGCACCGTAAGACGAGTAAACCGGCGGATGAGGGACTCGCTATCGCAGGTCTATTGGGAGTCGATGTAGCAGAGTTGCTTGCTGAATCTTCTGCAGAAGGTCGGATGCGTAAGCTGCTGCTTCTCTGCAAGAATATACCTCGGTATGTGCCTGTTGCGGGTTGGCAGGGTAAGAAGCTACGGATTCCTGGCTTCAGATGGGCGCCGATGTCTATCGCAGACCTGTCGTGGATGGGATCTTCCAACTTACCAGATTCGGGCACAGCAGTGTGTACCGAGGAGGGTCTTCTTGGGAAGTATACAGTGGTCCATTTTGCACCGGTACGCGCGGCGGGTTTTTTCACTGCGCTCCTGGCAACTGTAACAAGTATTGCACCGGTACGCGCGGCGGGTTTTTTCACTGCGCTCCTGGCAACTGTAACAAGTAACCAGTCGTCTCGTACATCATCTTTGTCTGGAGACCAGGCCGAGTGCGTTATCTCTGGAGTTCATGTTGAGTTAGCTGAAGAGACAACGGTGGGGATATTTGAAGGTAATTTGACCCTCACATTTAATGGCTTTATTACGATGGATAAAGACCTGGTCAACACATCATCTGGAGAGTCTCCCGTAGCCCTGGTGTTCATTCCTTCCCTTTTTGAACAAAATCGCGACGCGTCCGCATGTCATTGTCAAAAGACCGAGCATCTCGCTTGTGAATTCGTCACTACTGGGAAGATGTTTGTCGATTTCGAAAGTGCGCAATCGTTGGCAGGACGAGGATGGAAAAATGTCGAAGCAAAAATGCACAGTTTGATTCCGGTATTATTGACTTAGGCAGTTAGGTTCTTCGACCAATGGTATATCAAATTTACTGTTTTTACTACTCTTTACCTCGTTTTCATCAGGCACCTGTCATTTTTGTCTGAGAACAGTATGAAACTTCTTTTAACATTCTTGAAGATTATCATGTTGGACCCAGTATGTTCATTTCACAGAATCTCAAGTTTGCTGCGAGCGGATTTACGATTCCCTCTACACTCGACAGGTGGATATTCTGCAAGTCGATTCTTGGAGCAACATTAGTGGTACACAACATCTGGCTTCCTTAGCTCAGTCGGTAGAGCGCGAGTCTCATAGCATGAGGACGACTGAGTCTGTAATCTCGAGGTCGCAAGTTCGAGCCTTGCAGGGAGCATTTTCGCTCAATTTTTTGCACCTCAACAACCGGGGAAGTAGGAAGTGAATTATACCATGCCATTGTAAGTACTGCATAAGAGACGGCTCAAGGTCAACTTAGGGGCTACTGGTACTCATTGTGATGTTACTAGCGTCACGTTACCGCAATGCGTGTTGTGACACACCGACAACCGTCCGCGTCGCCAAACCTCTTCAAAGCGTCTCTTCATCCCAAACTTCAACTCCAAAGATCTTTCCGAGACTCCCACCTTCTCCCAAGCCCTCGAAAGTCAAGGAATAATGAAGAAATTTACTGAAGTATCTCACAACAACCTCGATTTACAATGCCAGAAACTTCTCCCTTTCAGTGGAAGATGAAAGAAAACGGTAGAAACTTCCAGACGCCCACCGAATTTTCGAGTACAGTAACTTCAACAACTCATAGAAACGATTTCTGGCGGCGTTGTTTGCTCAGTTCCTCTGCCCATACCCAATCCACTCTAATCAACTCATTAACGACCGCGATAATATGTCTTCGAAAGCTGTCGGTATTGATCTGGGCACGACCTACTCTTGCGTCGGTGTTTGGCAGAACGATCGAGTCGAAATCATCGCCAATGATCAGGACAACCGAACGACGCCCTCCTACGTCTCTTTCTCGGACACCGAACGTCTTATCGGTGATGCCGCCAAAAACCAGGTCGCATTGAACCCTCACAACACGTATGTCTTTCTTCTACAGTCTTCGCATGTCAACCTCACGCTAATTATCTTCTTTTTTCTCTAGTGTCTTTGATGCTAAGCGTCTCATTGGCCGAAAGTTCGACGACGCCGAGGTCCAGTCGGACATCAAGCACTTCCCTTTTAAAGTCACCAACAAGGCCGGAAAGCCCTACATCGAGGTAGAGTACCGTGCTGAAAAGCAAGAATTTGTACGTGTTCTCGTGTTTTTATTTTTTTTGTTCTGTGTACCGACTCTTCTCTCCAGTCACCCGAAGAAATTTCCTCCATGGTGCTCCTCAAGATGAAAGAAACCGCCGAATCCTACCTCGGCACTGCCGTCACCAACGCCGTCGTCACTGTTCCCGCCTACTTCAACGACTCTCAACGACAGGCCACCAAGGATGCCGGAACAATCTCTGGCCTCAACGTCCTCCGTATCATCAACGAGCCCACCGCTGCGGCCATCGCTTACGGCCTCGATAAGAAAGTCGCCGATGAACGCAACGTCCTCATTTTCGATCTCGGAGGAGGAACTTTCGATGTTTCTCTTACTATCGAGGGCGGCGTCTTCGAAGTGAACGCTACCGCCGGTGATACGCATCTGGGAGGAGAGGACTTCGGACAATCGTCTCGTGAATCACTTTGTCCAGGAGTTTAAGAGGAAGAACAAGAAAGGTGCGTTGTCATACATCTCCATTTTCCGCTACGTGGTTACTAATTACTGCTCTCTGCAGATATTTCTACCAACGCCAGTGCCCTCCGTCGTCTCCGTACCGTTTGCGAACGTGCCAAGCGCACTCTCTCATCTGCTGCTCAGACCACCATCGAAATTGACCCTCTCTTTGAGGGCATCGACTTCTACACTTCCATCACCCGTGCCCGTTTCGAAGAACTCTGCCAGGACCTCTTCCGCAGCACCCTCGCGCCTGTCGAGAAGGTCCTCCTCGATTCCAAGATTAGCAAGGCCGACGTGAACGACATCGTGCTCGTTGGCGGATCCACCCGTATTCCTCGAATCGTCAAACTCGTCTCCGATTTCTTCAACGGCCAAGAGCCTAACAAAAGCATCAACTCCGACGAAGCTGTCGCTTACGGTGCAGCTGTGCAAGCAGCTGTCCTGTCTGGTAATACTTCTGAGAAGACTTCAGACTTGTTGCTTCTTGACGTTTCTCCTCTTTCCCTCGGTATCGAAACCGCCGGAGGTGTTATGACACCTCTCATCAAACGCAACACCACCATTCCAACCAAGAGGTCGGAGCTCTTCACCACCAACGCCGACAACCAACCTTCTGTCAAGATTCAAGTCTTCGAGGGCGAACGTTCCCAAACTAAAGACAACAACCTACTCGGCAACTTCGATTTGTCTGGTCTCCCACCCGCTCCTCGTGCTACTCCAAACATTGAGGTCACTTTTGATTTGGACGCCAATGGTATTTTGAATGTCTCTGCTGAGGATAAGACGACCGGCAAGTCGAACCGCATCACGATTACGAACGATAAGGGGCGTTTGACGAAGAAGGAGATTGAGAGGATGGTTAGTGACGCTGAAAAGTACAAAGGTGTGTAACTCTTTCATTTTTTTTTGGTCCATCCTTCGTACTGACTAACTTTTTCTTTTTTCAACTCTAGCCGAGGACGAAGCCGCTACTGCTCGCATTAACACCGAGAACGGGCTCGAATCTTACGCTTACCGCTTGCGTGACACCATCACGACTGATTCGCTTGCGGACAAAATCGCTGCCGCTGACAAGTCTAAACTCGAAGTTGCGATCAACGAGACTGTCTCTTGGCTTGACGGTTCGCAAGAAGCTTCGAAGGAGGAGTACCACGAGAAGCAGAAAGAGTTGGAGAGCATTGCAAAGTGAGTATTCCTTTGTCTCAGTGTTGAGACGTTGTTACTGACTTTCTTTTTTCCTTTTCTGTTACAGCCCGATTATGCGAAAGTTGTACGGCGCAGGGGGTGCTCCTTCTGGAGACGGACCTAGCGTTGAGGAAGTTGACTAAATGGGTTGATGACTCGGGCATTTCTCAGTTTTTTTTTTTTTTTCTCTCAAAACTATGGTTGTAGACGCATCTTAAAATCGGTCTAGACTGTACTTGTGATAGCGTAGTGTATGAAATCTAATGTAGTGATACCCAAACAAATTTTCAACCGGTTTTTTACTGGTCATACTAGTGTGAAGACTTGTCAGCGCTGCACGACAGGCCTCTGCGAGTAATTCTTCGAGGAAATGTTTCGAAAATGAAACATTATGTAAACTCAACATCCTATTTCACCTGAACCACCACCTTCGCTGTAAAGCTCACTCCTTTCCAAAATCTTCCCCCCATCAATGTCTACTCAAAGAAACAATGCTCCCCATTCACTTCGCCATGACACCGACACGTATAAAAGCGATGCCAAACATGTGTTGCAATCCCTCCACGACGCCGAAATGGAAGCCAAATGCTGTCAAGACGAAATCGATAGACTTCAAGCCAGACTTATCACCCTCAGGATCAAACAGCACAGAGCCTATCAACGGATAGATCACCTCCGTTCTCTCTTAGCGCCCATTCGACGGCTGCCTCCAGAGATTCTGGGTCGAGTCTTCAGTTTTTGTAGCCCTCGGAGTGGGATCGATCGTTCGGGTAAAATACACTGCCCAGTGGTTCGTTTATCGCAAGTGTGTGCGGCATGGCGCAAAATTGCCCAGGAAACTCCGTCTTTATGGTCATCCTTGTCGATCCATCTGCAGGCCCAACCAATGACCTATGCTATTCAACGAATGTTGGAGTTGCATCTAGAATTATCCAAACAGCATCCCCTCTTCCTGGACCTAACTCTGACTCAGGGTGCTGAGGGAGCAGTGGGGGTCCTAAAGTCCCTCGTGCAGCACTGTTCTCGTTGGGAAGCAGTTTCCTTCAATTTTTGTCTAGGTTTATTCTATTCCGAAGTGCTGTCATCTATCAGGGGCAACTTACCTAGACTCAAGTCAGTCGTGTTGCGTGGGCACCGGTTCAGGTTTCCCAATAGTAGCGAGGTTTGGAAGCTTTTTCAGTCTACCCCGGCTCTTCGTCGTGTAGCTTTAGCGGAGTGCGATTCGGTATCAGAACTGCCAGTTGACTTGCCGTGGAACCAGCTGACCCACCTCCGTTTTGACTGGTGGAGGGTGCCCAGTCAGGTTGATCGTCTCGAAAAGGCAACCGAAGCGCGTAATCTTACCTTGGTGTGCTATTACTTAGATGAAGAGCCAGAGACTCCCTCGACAATGGTGCACAGAAACATTGAAGCCCTCACGCTTCTTGCAGCTAATTTTGACGATAGCGGGGCTTTCAGTCGCACCCTCCGGTGTTTCAATTTGCCCAATTTGGCGCACCTCAAATTGTCTACCTTTGTTGGCAGCGATCGCGATTCGTATATTTTGGAAGACATAAACTCTGAAGTGGGGTCCTTCCTGACTCGTTCGGGATGTAATCTCACATCATTGAGCTTAGTCAATTTCATCATACCGCAGGATCAACTTGCCAATCTGTTTCGCCATCTTCCCTCTCTATCGGCCTTAACAATTCACGAATCCGAAGAACCAGACGAAGATTTGCTCACCTCGGGAGTCTTCAATCTCATCACCGTCAATCATAGGAAACCTTTTGATTCCATGTTACTCCCTCGTCTTAAGGAGCTCGATATACGATTCCGTTCCGTTACTGTCACCTACTTATCTTCTCTCGCTGCTATGCTCGAATCGCGGTGGATTACCGATATTGAGTTCTTGCCTGGATCGGAAGTCCAGTGCCTCTCCTCAGTCATTCTTCGGCCTTTTATCAAGGGTGACAAGGATACAAGTGCGCTCATCCTGGAATCTTTGCGGGGGTTGAAGGCTGCAGGTCTTCGAGTATCCATGTTTCCGCAACTTTTGGGATTGCAACAAAGTACTGATAATGTTGACTTGTGGTGTGTCTGTTGATGGAAGGAGGGGCTTTCTGTATGAATAAACCATGTTTACTCACTTACGCTATAGTTTTTAATCATATATTAGATATGAAAGCGAACTTCTGTGGTACTGGCGTAAATGTCTTAGTTATGTTGTATGTACGTTTTACCTGTCCTTGACCTAGCCTTAATCTTATTCTCAGGTCAGAATCACATTTCGGAATTATCGAAGTCGAGTCTTCTTTCTAAATAGGGCTTTGAAGATGGAAGTTGGACTCAAGGTTCCTGGATCTGCTCGTGCGGCACTGTCTCTTGTTGGAAAAACAGTTCTCCCAATCATTTCTTCCATCTCGATAATCGGCTGTGTTTTGTATAGATGGTGG